TGCCTGGGTGGCTCAGTCGGTTGGGCGTCTGCCTTCAGCTCAGGTCATGATCCTGGGGTCCTGGGACGGAGTCCCTGGGTCAGGCTCCCTGCTGGGTGGGGAGTCTGCTTGTCCCTCTGCCCCTCCCCCTGCTCCTGCTCTTTCTCTCTCACTCACTGTCTCTCTCAAGTAGGTAAATGAAATCTTTTAAAAAAAATAAATGGGAAAAATAATTTAAGATGCTGAAATCTTGTAATGGATACCTAGGTGGGTATTATCATATAATCATCCCTATTATTGTTAACATTTTAAATTTTCATCATGTTTTAAATAAAGAATTTAATAATTTAAAGAAAAGAAAGAAGAGAAATACCAAAGTTAAAGACCTAGAGCAGCCCCACCAGTAGCTGGATTCAAAATCCACCATCCTGGTACCAGGATCTGAGCACCCCAGCACGGTCACCTAGACTTAGTATATGAAGAAAGCATAAGCCGTGTTTCCCAAAGTCTGTCCTGGGGAACTCTTACCCCAAGAGATGCTACACCAAAAAAGGTTCCATAGTTAAACAGGTCTGAGAGACTCTATATACTCTAGTTCCTGCCTAAGGGTTTACTACACTCCTTAGCAAATTATAAGGTTGAGAAGTTTTTCAGTGAAGAGGTCTGTCTCCCTTTATTTGACTCAGTGCCTCTTCAATTTATGTAATTCCAGAACCCTTTCATCCTTGTTAGGTGCCACAAACTCAGTGTTCAGCGGAACAGACTTTGGGAAATGCTGTCCTGGCATCTCCATCCTCGCCTGACTCAGACCAGGTTCGTCTGCTGATCACCAGCCTGCCAGCTCTAGCCGCCCACCCCGCGGGCAGCGCCCACAAGGCCGGCAGCGCGTGGCCCGGGCCCGCGGAGCAGAGCTCACACCCCCACTCCCAGCGGGGCCCTCGGGCTGCCTCTCTGGCCCCTGGACTCTGGAGCCAGCAGCCTGCCCAGCCCGCAGCTGACCTCCCTTGACTTGATCCCCCACCTTTGGGCGCCCCCTGCCTCCCGACTCCTGGTGCCAAGTGTGCACGCCTGCTCCCCGCCAGGGAAGACACGCCAGAGAGCAAGGCTGGGTGACAAGCCGGGCCGCACTTGAGCAGAGCCATGTGCTGGGGAATCGGCCTGTGTCTGAGCAGAGGCATCCAACAGCTTGCAGGACAAAGACACAAACAGCCCCCAAGCTCCAAACGCCTTCACAGACTTCCAGCGTGTGAAAGAACCCACGTGTCTCTCCAGCACCCTACCCACCAGGGGACACCCGCCGCAGCCGCCTCCGCCCCCAAAAGCCAAAGTCATGCGACTGCTACCAGCCTTTGTCCAGCAGCTCAGAAGGACAGGGCCAGCGTCACTGGTACGTTCTGTCCAGCTCAAAGCCCAGGACAGAGGTCGAGAAATAGTAAGGACCGCAAGAGTCCCAGGATGGGGTGGGCTGTGGATGTGGGGTGTGTGAAATCAGGATAGCCATCTACTTCCTCATGAAGTTTGCTTCTCCAAGCCAAGTGTCCTCTTTTTACAGGACCGGGATTAATAGCATCCCCGACTAAGGACCCTGTGTGCCCAAAGATATCTAAAACAATGCTGATGGGTCCACGTGAGTCTGTGTAAGTAGGGGAGGGAGGTCAAGAACACAGGAAGAAGCCAAAACGGAAGGGTTCTATTAGACAGCACTGCCTTTAAAAGGTCCATGTTTCCCATGATTGACAATTAACTTTGGCATCAATGAACGGCTCCCCTTTCCCGCCTCCACTCCCCCCCCCACATGGATCCCCCCCCAACCATGAAATTTATAGTCCCTCTCTTGGATTGCTACAGTCTACAGCAAGCATAGGACCAAAACAACAACTAGAGGGCAAAGCAATTAACCATTTCCCCAGGCTGAAGTTCTAGCCTCTTATTGCCTTGATAATTTACTCTGTAAAGTGGCAGGTACCTTGGCTCAGAGTCACTTTCCAAATCTATTTAAAAGTCCCTGAATTCTGCTGAGTCTGATTTCACTCTATGAACAGGACAAAAAACAATAAGGTCTTCAACACTTCATTGTTTGGTGGTAAATATCAGCCATGATACTTACTTAAAAGCCTATAATTATAATACAACTTGGTTCTCCTGCAAAGCTTCCATTTCCTGGTATACTAGGAGAATAGAATTAGTGGTTTTATTGTTTTAGTGCATCTCTGGAGCAGCGGACCAAATATTGTATCACTGGGTATCATCCCTTCTCCACACATCTTCCTCTTCCCACAGAGATCCTGCAGCCCTCAGACCCAGCCTCATGGTTCCCGTGGAAAAGTTGTGGAGGTTCTGAGCTTTCAGGGAAGATACAAGAAATGCGAATACCAAGAGCGAAAGGAGCCAACATTTTATCACAATCTGTCCAATTCTGAACCAATGATATTGTCTACTCTGACTTCTCCTTGCCCCCAACTGCATTTTCTCCTGCTTCCTATTCAAGGGAACAGCTCCACCATCCGCCACTGGCTCAAGTTACCAACATGGTGGTCCTCTGGGACTTACCCATTTCCCTCACCACTATCCCCATGCCAGATCCACCCAGTCTCCTAAGTCCTGTCAGGGCTATTCTTTCTTCTCCAGCCTACCAGTACCGCCTTTGTTCAGATCACCATCTCTTCCCCTGGGTTGACAACAGACTCCTACCTGGTCTCCCTGCCTCCAGGCTTGCTCCCTTCTCTCTATTCTCCGCACTAGAGCCAGGATGATCTTTTAGATCAAAACCAAAATAGATCATGTCACTGCTCTGCTTAAAACCCCCCAGAAACTCAGGGCCCCTGGGTGGCTCAGTCAGTTAAGTGTCTGCCTTTGGCTCAGGTCATGATCGAGTCCCGCATCGGGCTCCTTGCTCAGTGAGGAGTCTGCTTCTCCCTCTGCCTCTCCCCCACCCCCACCCAGGCTTTTGCTCTCTCTCTCGCTCATTCTCTCTCTCAAATAAATAAATAAAATCTTAAAAAAAAAAACCTCAGAAACTACCTGCATTCACCAGGACAAAATTCAAACCCTGATCACTAATACCCTTCATGTTGGTGTCCGTGCCCCCTCTCCAGCTTCCTTTCTTGTACCCCCTCTCTTATCAAATATTAAACTATTGCCGTTCTCAGAACACACCATGCCTTTTCATGCCTCTAGCCTCTGCACGTACTGTTTCCACATTCTGGACCCAGTTTCCATCTTTCTCCTGGCTAAGTCCATTCCATTCTCCAAAGACTCAACTCATGCATAACTTCCTCTGGAAAACTTGCTAGAGAGGTAAAAAGCCCATCTTGCTTCCCTACTCTTCCCAAGGGTTCACATAAAATCATGCTGTTTTGTAGTTGTTGTTTCTTATCCCTCTGGTATGTGGCACAAAGTGAGGCAGATCTCTGAGCAACTCTTGACCCACAGCATTCATCTTTCTTTGCTCTTTCCTAACAGGGCCCCACTTTGTTCTGGTACTCACTCTCTCCCAAGAAGCTCCAAGTTTCAGGGAAAGCTGACAGCATCTGATTGGTCCAAGGGTAAATGCGCTTCCTTTCACAAGAATTGGCTCAAGAATGTCATGTGACCCAGTTCTGGCCAATGAGATCTGATGTTTCTTGAAAGAAACAAGAGGTGCTAGATGTCCTTGCTTCTTCTTCCACATAGGATGTATGTTTGGTGCCAGGGTCCCTTTGGCAGTTGGGTGAATTCTATGGACCCCTTCGTAGAATGATATTTTTAAATACATCAAATAAACTACATGCAAAGAATTATAACATAACACAACTACTAAAATATTGAAACAGCATATTTATGATATAATAATATATGCAATACTTTGTTAACATATTCAATATCAAGATCTAGTGGTGGGTCTAATAACTACTATAATTTCAGATTAAGCATAAAGTATATTCATGATATATTCACAATTATAATGCTACTTGAAAATACATGTGATTTCTATTGGCGACAAACCCACACTGCCCTACTACTACTGTAGTTTGTTACCTACATTCATAATTGAAGGAAATAACAAATTTTAGTTAGAGTTTGATGATGTGATTCTTTTTCCCACTCAGGTTCATGGGTCCCTGAGTTTATCCATGGAGCTCAGAAAAGAACCCCCGATCTGGACTTTGTACTCTCTGGTTGTGATGGCTGGAACCACTGCAGCCATTTTGCTCACAACCTAAGGATGAACTAGTATGGAGGTTAGCATAGCAAAAAGATGAGAAGAAACTGGGTCCTTGATGCTGATGCTGAGTCTCTAAACCAACCAATCCTGGAGCCCATGGACTTCAGTTATGAAGAGTAATAAAATTACTTATTGTTCAAGCCCATTTGAGCCAGGGTTTCTGTCTCTTTAGCCAATTTTCAGGGAATGAAAAATGTTTAACTTTATATCAGAGTCACTGTCATAGGACAGAACAAATGCAACATCTACATTGAGCTCCCAATCGAAGAGGAAAGCCCCTCTCCTAACTAAAAGCCATGTATTTTATTTTTTTATTTTAATTACAGTATAGTTCACAGAGACTAAAAGCAATTTAAACTACCCTGGTATGTTCACAGTGTAGGACAATACTGATCCTCCAGAGATCGTGTCAGCCCTGAGCCCTGGGCCACAGAGGCTAGAGAAGCACCTGTCTCACAGCACCATCTTTTTTTTTTTTTTTTAAGATTTTATGTATTTATTTGACAGAGAGAGACACAGCCAGAGAGGGAACACAGGCAGGGGGAGTGGGAGAGGGAGAAGCAGGCTTCCCGCCGAGCAGGGAGCCTGACGCGGGGCTCGATCCCAGGACCCTGGGATCATGACCTGAGCCGAAGGCAGACGCTTAACGACTGAGCCACCCAGGCGCCCATCCCACAGCACCATCTTGCAAAGCATATTGGATGGAGGTGAAGCCTTGCACAGGGACCAGTCGACGAGAACTCTTTTCCTAACTACTGCATGGTGAGCATGCCTGAAAGCACTAACAAGGATTCTGAATTTAAAAGCTGACATTCCAAAGACTATACTGTCAGGGATCATTTCTACAGTTCGTTACTAGAGAAGTTTCTCTGAACATGTAGAGTACCCAAAACCATGAAGAGGAGGTGCAATGTCCCTTTCTGAGCATGAAGCTGGCTCTGGGCGTGGCTTCTGCAGCTGCCCTTTGTCATTGATGATCATTCTTCTCCTCCTTTGGGAAACTAGGAGGGAAGGGACACCATCTGAGTAGTTTTCGGGGGGTGGGGGAGGATAAAGGCTGACACGCCATCATCTACAGCAAGGGGTGAGAACAATGTGGGACAGCCAAAAGAGCAGTACTATTCAAACTATTAGTCCCTAGAAAAGATGGAACTTGAGCACATGTCAGAAACACCTTGAATATGCATTAGGAACATGGGAGAGAGCTTTCAGGGCCCTGTCCCCATAGGTTCTGCTTCAATAGGTTGGCAATGGACCCCAAAATTTGCATTTCCAAAATGTTTGGGGTTATGCTGATGCTGGGGACCACACTTTGAGAAGCACTCAAATGTTTCTTGAAAGAAACAAGAGGTGCTAGATGCTAGGTGCCTAGAAGCTGTACAGCAACCCAGAATTACTTCCTCACCCACATGGCTAATGAAATCACTTAGGGAAAAGGAACTGGCCTTAAAAATTCGTCAGGTATTAATATTCTGAGCCACTGATCTAGTTTTCTTTACCAAATGTGGTTTGAGCCAGGATTGTGATTTGGTTCTATCTTTGGTGGTGGAGTGCTGGATAAGTATAAGTACATAAGTGTACATAAGTATATTACATATACTTACAATGAAATAAATTATGTTAAAAACAAAGGTAATAAATACTCAGAACTCCTCACTTTCCAATTATTTTACTACATTTTATTATTATCTATGCTCTTGAGGTTATTTACATCTAGTCTGTATGGTAGAAATACCACAAATAATGCTGTGCTATTTTGCATCTCTTTCCAAATCCACATTCCGTGACTTAAAGGTGGTAGATTGAAATCAGCCACGGTGAGAGTATTTACATCATGGAAATTATTGATTGCATAGACTTAAGAAAATAATAGAGAAATGTCAATAATGGAGATTCGATTTAAATGCATGTTGTATCTATAATTGTTACATTGTGACTGGAACAGAAAATTCAGGAAACCTTCTCCCAGAGCTCAAAACCTACTACGTGATTCAGCAAAGAAGTCACTGTGTCATTAGTGAACAAATGAAGATCCAATAGACATCTTTGTTGTTTCTCTTCTGTCTTACTCCTTAACAGAAATGAAAACACAAACCCATACTCACATCGGAATTATACTCACTTATTTAGTGACGTAAGCGCCTTCTTTGCGGAATAGGATAGTAATCAAGCATTTATTCATAGTCTGATTTTGTCAAATCGTGGTTGAATTGCAACCATAGTTTGGCTATGGACACGAGAGTTCAACAAAGGTCAAGAATCGTGAGAATCAATTGCCTATATGGAATTTACAGTACTGCATTGTGTATCTTGTTATTTGTAAATGGTGTGCTACATTCCTTTTCCATCTATAAAATTTATAAAATTTTATAATATCATATATAAATTATATAAAGTTTACAATAAGCATTTTTTTTTTTCCTGGAGAGCTGGTTTTTTAACATTTACCAGCACCATCTTTTAATCATCTTTGAATCCTGAATGGGGTAGGCCCTCGCTGATCATTAAGGTTATGATTCTGGTGCCCAGAGTAAGCACAACGGGGTGAGCAGCTCCCTTACAGAATTGTTTCACCAGGCTTATTTCTTTTGAATGGGCCGCCTGTAACAATAGTATCTTTCATCCTTGTTGCAATTGTCCTTGAGTGGGGACACTGGTGCTTTCATCCTCATATGCATAGTTCGGTGCACTTGCCCTCACAGGGAGACGCCCTGAAAGTAACAAAACTCGCAGAACCAGGGCCACACCCAGCCTTCCAGTAGTTGTCTTTTCCTACAGGTTTACCGTGACACATGGCAGACAACTCCCCGGAGAGTCCTTCCGTGAGAACAGGACTGGGGAAGGGAGCTTCCTTCCTCCTCAGAGGTCCGGGGCAGCGGGGCAGCACGCTAAGGGGGGGGGGGGGTGCTCCAGAGGCGGGCAGGGCCACAGAAACAGAGCATTCTGGGCAATGGTGATTACTATGCAACACGAGGCCTGGAGCTCCACCGGGAGCAGAGGGTCTCTCCAGAGCTATGGAGATGTCAGACTGGATGGACGTGTTCACCCACACCTCGAGGACTCCCAGATATGCTAGAGAGGGGAGGCCTATTCCTACAGTTACTCAGGTGGGACTACCCAGCAGCAACCTTCCAGTCCCACGACTTAGATCTCATTTGTACCCCATTTGTCAAGCTTCATTTTGCAGACAAGAAAGCCCATCTCAGGAGAGCGATGACTCAACCAAAGGAGTCACAGGGTGAGTCAGAGTCCAGTGCTGTGGATGTGTGTCTGCTTCACCCAGTCTCTGCTCCAGGCAATGAGTCTCCTTTAAATAAGCAGGGGAAGCATCAGCTCCTTGTATAGAAACATGCTGAGCCAGCTGGCATGTCTGTGAATCAGCATTTGTGCTTCTCCCAGACCATTTACAGATTCTGGGAAGGAGAGTGCAGGGTGAGGGTGCTCCAGAAGCATGATGCTCACAGCTTTTACACAATGGCCAAGCCCTCCCCACCTTGGCTCATCATCCACCTGTTGCATTTGTATCAGTCTGGCACCCCAATACAATGCAAGTTCCTATAGGCAAGGAACATGATGTCCATGGGCTTTGCGGTCAGAACTTGGTTTAAATACTGCTGTTGCCACTTATTAGCTGTGACATCGGGCAAGTCCATCAAATGGGGAAAAAGTAAAGGAACAAAAATTTATTGAAGGCCTATACAAGAAGGATCTTTATAGTTGTAAGTGGTTGAATCCCAACTCAAACAGGATTAAGCAAAAAAGATAATTTACTGGCTCAGCAATCCCATTAATCCTGGAACAGATCTTGTTGGCTTTGGACGTGTTTGGACCCAGGGGAATATCTTCAGGACCCACACTCACTCTGTCCGTCTCTGGAGTCCCCGTTCTCTTGTGGACTCCATTATCAAACGACTCTTTACTCAGAGTAGGAAAATGACTGATCAAACTCCAGTCATACATATGCTGCGGCTCAGGCCAAGCAGAAAGGAGAATACATCTCGTCTCAAAAACGCCCTCAGGAATCCTAAGAGTCACTTGGATTAGACCGATCTGAGTCACATGCTGTACCTCTGAGCCAATTACTGTGGTGAGGTAAATTCAGAGCACTGATTGGCCATGCTTGGGTCACATGCTCCTTCCTTAGCCAATGACTGTGGGGAGGTAAATTCAGAGCACTGATTGGCCATGCTTGGGTCACGTGCTCCTCCCCAGGAGGCGGGGATGAAGCCGGGTCCAGAGCACAGGAACTACAAATGGAGTAGGCAGTAGAGTTTTGCAAAGAAATGCTTTCCCTGAAAGGAAGGGGAGTGGATTCTGGATAACCAAAAAGTGTCATCACATGCTTGGTTCATTATTTTAATCAAGCTCTCATAACAATGTAATTTAACCTTTCAGCTCTACAGTTTCCTCTTTTGAAATGAGAATAATGATACCTAATAAGAAAAATAGCTACCACTTATTTAGTGCTTACTATACCAGGCACTGGGCTAAGTGCTTTATATATTCCAACTTAATTATTTATGTCTTAAGATTGTTGTTATTTTTTTTTAAGATTTTATTTATTTATTCATGAGAGACAGAGAGAGAGAGGCAGAGGGAGAAGCAGGCTCCCAAGGAGCAGGGAGCCCGATGCAGGACTCGATCCCAGGACTCTGGGATCATGACCTGAACCAAAGGCAGATGCTTAACTATCTGAGCCACCCAGGCACCCTTAAGATTGTTAGACGTAAATTAAAACAGATGACTTAAAAGGTCCTAGGCATTGTACCTGGATATAGTAGATGTTAAATGCTTAAATGTATTTTATTTGTATCAGCCACTCACCTACTACAGTATTAAGCATCTAACTGGTACGTATTGCAAAAGTTGCATTAATGAATGAAAGTGTGGATTATTTCTGCATTTAATTATTTATATTCTACCTAGTTGCACAAAGGATGTGATATAACACACAGGACGTACATTCAGCAATATAGTGCAATATATAGAGGAAAACAAAATCAGAACCAATGGACTATGTAAATTAGAATAGAATAGCAAGGTAAGTGGAAAAGTAGAATGCATTCATGGAGACCATGAAATTAGTTTTTGAATTTGGCTCTGAGTTTCCTGGTAAACAAAAAGAAAAGGGAAACCCCATTAATTGCAGTTCTACAGTTCAAGAGTGTGGTTGGGGTGGGGGGGCGTGGACAGAATCTTATCATTCCTCAAGGAAAAGAATTTAATGCACTGGATTTTAAAAGGTAAAGGAATTATGGTCAGGGGTGGGGCAGGTACAGGGACAGCTACCGATAGATCCTGTTCAGGGACGATGGCAACTCTACCACAGAAAGTAGTGGGCAAGGCAGTATCTCACCTCTCGTGGGGCAAATGCCCGAGGTACTTCGATAACAGGATGAGATGCCGCTTTTGGTCTCTGATAAGAACTTGATCTCTGGAGGCACAGTGCTTCCTACAGCCTTGGAAGGACTTCCCTCTGACAAGAGTCCACATTTAGAGAGGAAGTAGAACCTTGTCTCTAGGAAGAGGCTGACCCCGAGGGCCCGAGCTCCCTCCTCAAGGCCCAGAAAATGTTCCCATGAAGCTTCGGGAGGAGAAATCAAGGGGTTCTCACCTAGCATCGCTCCTAGACAGGGCACCTCCTTTTGACTCCAAGGCTCTGGCCTATAGCTGGGAGAGAGTTAATTGTGGCGACCCAAATCTGCAGTCCCATTTTAAGCATGCTGAAAATTACTTTTTAATCCTGGCTTTCAAGGCTTGCCCGGGGAGCCATCTGCTGCACCCTCCCCCACCTCGGGCACATGGGATTACTCCCACCTGCCCCGCCTCACTTGCTTTTGTGGGTCCTAATTCTGCTCCTGTCCATCCAGAATAATAATAATTTAGAGGATGACAGTTTCATCTGTGGGGTGGGAAGCGAGCCTAGATTTTAAAACAACAAAAATCAAGGTCTTCCAGCCCAGATTAAATAGAAAGCAATTTGAGAGGTCAGAATCCGTAAACAATTTGTAGGTCTAGGATAATCAGACCT